GGTCAGTTTAAATGATCTTGTCCTGTTTCTTGATAATGAATCTGGCGTCTTGCCATGCCATAGGCGTGATAGTTTATTCCGATAAAGTACACATGCGTTGCTGGTATTTTGATCCTACTTGCGTATTAGTGCTCTGGAATTCTGATATCTATATAGCATGAATTCTCACCTATGACTTGTTTATCACAACCACTACAGGGAAGGCTGCAATGTTGCCTTGGCTGTTGCGTCCTGTTCTGGTAAAGCTTCTTCTAGTTTGAGAGATCGTTCTACAGAGAGAGTCGTTCCGCTATTTTCTTAATGTTTAAGTGACGATATCTCCTGTGTTACCACTGCAAAAAAATTGAGCTGTGCTTCTTGGTTCGCGAACGAGATGTAAAAAAAAAAGTTTAGCGTTGCGAAGATGCAGTTAATACCGCCGTTTCACTCCGATTTGGACCATTAACTAGTCACATTCCTCTTCCAAGTATTTGAGTTGCAGATCCTGCGCAACTTCTCTGGCAGGAATCCAGCAAATAACGACCTACTTCACCCATCTCGATAAGAAAACTAAAGGTGGACTTTTGATTTGGTTCTTTTTGAGCAAACAGGAGCGACAGTTTCGAATACTTTGAAAAAGTATGTGGGATCATTAGTAACATCGTTGCCTAGTTGCATTTTCTTTCACACTTTATCTGGAAATGCTGTCTGATAAATGGCCCAGATAATATAGGGACGAGACCACGATGACAGTACAAAGGCTGAGACTACCAAGGCAGTGTCAGGGATAGGCCCACTAGGACAGTACCAAGAATGGAAACACCGGGTAATTGCCCAGGATGGGACTTCAACGTCAATGACATGGATTGAATCGACAGGACAGTGTCGAGAATGAAATCATCACTACCTTGCTAAGGGTGGAATGGACAGGACATTATCAAGGATAAGACCATCAGGACATTGCTAAGGATGGAACTACTAGAACAGAATCAATGATGAGATCATCAGGTCAATTTTAACTAAGGAATCACAAAACAGTACCAGTGATGAGACCACCAGCTTAATACTAAAGATGGAACCATCAGTATAGGTACAAGGCTAAAGCTACGGGATAGTGCAAAAGGTTAGGAATAGTATGAAAAACACAAGGATGGGGCATGTACCATTGCAAGTGATGGAATCAACAGGACAAAATATTTGCAAGAACAGCAGAAACCAACTGAACTCACTGAGTAGTCAAAAAGGAGGTTTGATTATTACAAGTAGTTATGTGACGCGAAGAAGAACAAGGGGAAAATATCGGACTGATAAGCACAAAAAGAAATAACTGGTTGATACGAGAAGGGAGGACACAGTTGTTTTACAAGCGGAGGAAAGGAACACTTGTCCGAGTGGCAGGTAAAAAAAATAGGTCATTAAAAAGAGGAAAAGAAAATAGTTGTCTAATAGGCAGGCAAACAATTAGCTGATTGGCAGGCAGAGGGAGAAGGGGGCATAAATGTTTGACAGGCAGGGACGTTGAAAATATTATTCTAACAGACAGATGGAGGAAAAAGAGTAGAGTTAGAGGGAAAAAAATTAACAATAGTGAGTGGTTGCTGGGAGAGGCAAACAAATCTCCTAACATATTAATCACTGCAATGGAATAGTGTGTATTAAAGGTGAGAGTTGAGCTGTGCAGTATGAGGAGGAAGATAATGGATATGATTGAGAAAAGTGTCCAGAAAAATCAGCCAAGAATACAGAATTTGACGCACGTAAGTCTAAGAATTTTGTAAATCCAAGCCTATCTCATCCTTCCCTCAAATAATGCAAATGAAAATGGAGCAACGTTCTACGAATGTTCCAAGATATTAGTCACCATTTAACAGTGACAGGGTTTAGCGCTTAGTTACAATTACAATAATTTAGCAGCGGTAATAAGAGCAGCGTAATGAGGGGAGGATAAGCAGGAACCAGGCCAACATTACCATATTATGTGACATAAGAAAGTTGCAAATGTCTGACACGAAAAAAAATGTCTACTGGTAGACATGACACTTAACCCATCCACTGAAGCTAATATAAATGATAATGTGGTAGGCGTGTCGCAGTATTAAAAAAATGCAAGTAATTTTTTCTCGTGATAAAAAGTTCTTTTAGGATGGCATTCTCTACTTGTATATAGCCAGTGATAAGGAGTTCAACACTTTCATGAAGGAACGTTAAGCTAAAATCATTAGAAAATTTGAGAATATCAGAGGATTTTCTTCAAAACTAATTCATTAGACAATGGACTAAATAAATTAGAACAAAACGAAAACACTAATAACGTAAGTGTCAGCATGGACGTAATAACGACATACAAGATAGTCAATTGTATTTACGTTCAGGATAAAGAATGACTGCTGACGTGAGCCTGTCACATTGTGCAGGACGGAAATAGAAACTAACGACAATTTTTGACAAGCCGATTCAAAAGAGAGAGAGGAAAAAAAAAACACTCGTATAAATGATCTATACATTTTGGCCTCTTTTTTTTTTTTTTTTTTTTTTTTTTTTTATCTGCGTAATTTTCTAAGTCACCACTTTTCATCGATCAGTTTTTATGAGATATTCATGGAACCACATTTGAAAACATTCACAGTGATATCATTTTCAAATACAATTTTGAGTGCACAGAAAGGCAGTCGAAAGATATACGAGTAAATAAAAATGTGAAAACTTTATATCGTGAGAGAGAGAGAGCAAGAGCAAGCAACAAAGAAAATATGTACAGACCACAGAGTATGATGGAACTGTCCAATCAGACTGGTGATCAAGTGACTGTGAGAGTAGTAACAGTAGAGTGGTTGAAGTGACTGTGCTGGTAGTAAATGTAAAGTGGATCAAGTGACTGTGAGGGTAATTACAGTAGAATTGACCAAGTGTCTTTACGGGTGGTCACAGGAAAGTGGATCAATTGGATCCACCCAAACGCCACTTCAACCCAAACTTTACCTTAACCTAACCCATACTCCACCTCCACTCAAACTGAATCTCAACCCACGTTGCACATGCTCCCAACTTCCACCTCAACCAAAATTTCCCCAGAGCTCAACCTTCTCAACCCAAATTCCACCATAACCCAAATTCTATCTTACCTCAAGTGATTCCTTAACCAAAACTTCTCAACTGAAATCTCAGTTCACACTTCTCAACTCCAGCTCCTCATCTCAGCTTAACTCATACTTATACCTTAAAGAAAAATCTTCGAAGACAGCATGAGGGACTACGGCAAAATTTAAGTTTCTAGATTATTTCAATCACGGAAATATTAATAGTGTGCGCTGAGTATGACTACACCCACAGCAGTGTAGCTTAAAAGACCTGTCAAGCATTGACCAGCAGGGCTACTGAAGGTTTGGTTGAAGGAACTATCAGGCAAGGGACTGTAAGTCTTCTGCAACTTTCTTGGCATATAAAGTCCTGGTGGACATACTTCACGCATGATCCATGGTTCGAATCTTCGAGTCTCTCGTAAAAGACAAGTATTTCATGGACCTGTGTATCTACTACAGTGCTCCACTGTTCTTATAACTTCCCTGCCAATGTCTAAAATATCTGCTTGATTCCTTGTGTGCATTCTTATGTGCCTATTTGTTTTCCTGTTTCATTGTTCAAGTCTAGGTTTGTAAAATATAGAAAGCCTGTTTGCGTAAAACAAATTTGAAAATATATCGAGGGAGCGAGGGTCACACATTCAACTTGAACACAATTGCTTTTATCATTGTCCAAAGAAAGTGGCAGCGCCCTTGTTTTATTGACTGTCGCTGTGTATATGTATGTATTGCTAGACGTGCCTTTTGTAAATATTTTTTGTTTCATGTATTGATGGAGCCTTTTTCTCTAGACTGATGGTGTGTTAAATTGTCTCTTGTGTGTGTGTGAGACTTTCTGGTGAATACAGGTGTATAAACGGCGGGGTTAGCCGACAGATAGTGAGAAAGACACTGCAGAAAAACATTTATCATGAAATTTCTTCTAGAACTGGACTTTATCAAGTACACACTTCATAAAGGTCAGTCCTCAATGAAACGTAGTGATAAACGTTTTCCCAGTGAACTTGATACTTTTAGTGAGTGTGAGAATGCGCTGTTTGTGTCTAGTGGGTGTGAGTGTTGCTTGTGATTAAGGGGATATGAGTGTGTTGTGTCTAGCGAGTGTTAGAGTTGTGTCCAGTTAGTGTGAGGGTATGTTAACTCACGGTTAGAGACTCTGAGAGTGCTGTGTTTTGTTTAGTGAGGAAGTGTGTGCTTATATATTGCTCTTATGAGAAAGGGAGTTTTTTTGTGTCTAGTGTGAAAGTGTGCTAGTTTGCGCCTAGTGAGTGTGCGTTAATTTTTGCCATTGAGTTTGTGTGTGTTGGTTCGTCTGCAGATAGTGAGAATGTGCTGGTTTGTCTCTAGCAAGAGTGAATTGTTCAATCTCTAGTGCAAAAGTGTGCTAGCCTGTGTCTAGTGAGTGTGTTGGTGTGTCCCTAGCGAGTGTGAGCTTGTCGATCTGCGTCGATTGTGTGTGTGTGTGTTCGTTACTTAGAAAACTAGACACAAATACAGTATAATGCGATCCTTTATTGGCTACGTTTCGCCTACACAGTGGAATTAATTAAGCCACACACAGATCTACCCGAATAGAGTACATGAGTATATATAGGGAGCATAGTGACGTGATCAGTCAGGTGTGGAATACTGAGAAGTAGTTTGAGTTGAGAAGGACCTGCCTGGAATGGACAAGTAAGTGTGTTGCTATGCAGGCATTTTATACCATTGATCTTCATCGTGTTCGTTAGTCACTAGTGAGTGTGGCAGTTTACTTTGGTATGTGAGAGTACATTGGTTTGTTTCAAGTTAGATCTCATTTGTTTATCTCTAGTTATATTCCGTTAGTTTGTCTGTAACTATTGTGAGGATCTGTTCATCACGAACACTGACGTTTGGCGATTTCCTGATGTGTTTTCTCAACAACCAAAATAATATTTTCCTTTCTTTTCCTCCCCGCAGGTGAAAACAAGTCTCTTCTGTATTCGCCTCTCATCATCATCTTCCTTAGCATCGTGGGCGTGTTTCTCACACTCATCCTCATCCTCATCATCGTCACTCGCTGGAGGAAAAGCTATTCCTCCACTTCGACGTCCTCCTCCACAGCGGCTGTAGCCCCGTCCACCGACCCAGCTCAGGAAGAACCCGCTGAAGACCGCAACAGGAAGGAGGAGACCCAACCACAGAAAACGAAGCCGAAGAAGAAAGTGGTGGTTATAGAGAACGGGACGAAGGATAAGATCGGCCTCGGGGATGTGTCTGTTGATGTAACCTCCTCCAAAGGTTCGTCTTCGTTGAGCTAAAGATGTTAAGGAAGTCCTTTTAGTCTCTCTTGTAAACAAGTGTACGTGAGTAGGTCTGCCCTGGCAGCCCATTGTATGCAAGTCGACAAGAGGAGGGAAACACAATGGCTTCATTATGTAGAAGCGTTGATATTGTTGTGGTAGTCTCCAGGTCTCATTACTTGTATTAAATTGCTTCCGATTGTGTGTGTGTGTTTGTGTTTTCTGGATGTGTGTTTGCAATGTATGCTAAGGTTTTTGCTTGAATATGTACAGATTCTCTGTGCGTTATCGCCCCTGTACATTTACTCGGGTTGGAATAAGTACATTAAGCTAAACATTGAAAGGTCATACCAAAATTCCACGGATAGCGCCCTTTTACTCTACACACACACACACACACACACACACACACACACCCCACACACAAAACACACACACACACACACACACACACACACACACACACAACGAACACACACACAAACACACACGAACACACCCCACACACGAACACACACACACACACACACACACACACGGGAGGAGTCACGGGGTTTTTGAGCTCGTGTTTTGGTGGTGTAATTTCTGACTGTGCCTTAAGGAATAGAGTGTGGTATGGGCGTGTGCACGCCAAATATCCGAAAAAAGGAAATTTAAGTGATCACAGAAAAGAAAACAAAGGAAATAGTGGCTGAGTGTTTAGTGGGGCCGTTGGAAGGGTGAACGGTTGTCGGGGCCTAAAAAATGTCCCCATAAAAAACGCAGTGGGGGTTTTTTTGAAGAATAATGCGACTCAAGACCAGGGAGATAAGAGATATATATAGATGTGTCAGTAAATACAGTGATGAGTAAAAAAATTAGAAGAGCTAGAGACTATAGTGCTACAGGAAGTTAGGGGAAAAATTTACCGAGAAGCATCAAACTTCTTCAACTTCTGGGACAGGACAGACCCACAACGTTTCTACTCCACTCCCCAGCCGCAAGTAATATTCACCTAGTTTGAGTTGCATGGGGTCAATAGTACCTGTCTCTAGCTGGAATTGGGGGTCACTCTCCTCGAGCTATTAGAATTAGAATAACCCAGCATTTACTGGCATTTAATAGAATTTAGAGGTAGGGGCATATAGGCGAAGCTAGTGTAATTTATTTTTTAATTTTATTTAAACGCATAAGACTACAGTGGGAACCAAGAGATGGGGAAACATATACAATACATATGTAGTACATACGTGGGAAATAAGGACTGTTTACATAAACATATGCACGCACACTAGGTGAGAACAACACTGCTGTTAGGCACTTGAATAGTTGTAGCACACACACACACGTATGCACACAACACACACACACACACACACACACACACACACACCCCAACCCCACACACACACAACACACACACACACCCCACACATATATATATACAGGATTTTACACCTTCCTGTGAAGTGACCCTATAACCCTTCCTTCCCCCCATCTCTCTCCCTCTCCTCTCCTTTCTCTCCTCTCTCACCTCTCTCTTTCTCTCTCTCTCTCCCCCTTTCTCTCATCCTCTCTCTCTTCCTCTCACTTTTCTCTCTCTCTTCCTCTCTCTCTCCCTCTCTCTCTCTCCCTCTTCCTCTCTCTCTTCCTCTCTTTCTCTCTTCCTCTTCTTTTCTCTTTTTCCCTTGTCACTCCTCCCTCTCTCTTACCTTTTCCCTCTCCTCATTTTTCTCCCCCTTTTCCCTTCTTTTCCCCCCTTCTAGGCTCCCTTCTCTCTTTTCCCTATCTCTCACTCTCTCCTCCTTTTTTTTTTCCCTCTTTCTCTCTCTCTTTCACAAAAAAAAAAATGGTTGGGATTTCGCAGGGAATCAGGGATCAGATGACAATGGTACGGTAGGGGAATGGAGGAGAACATGACAAGTAAGAGCAAGAATGGAGAGAAAATTAGGAGAGCTTTCTAAAAAAAAATGGAGAAAGAGCTCTCTGTGAAAGGGGAAAAAAGGGGTTGGGAAGGAGACGAAGAATTGGGAGGCACAAGTCGAAACTGCAGTTGCCAGGGTAAAGGGCCTAGAATTTGAGGTAAACAGGCTGAAGCAAGTCTCAGGGGTATGACCAGAGAAGACCACCATACGAAGATGAGAGGCTGAACAGGGAAAGGGAAAGGAGATATGAATTATGCTAGGTTTATATCAGCCTGCAAAGAAGGGCCAGGGAGTGGAAGGGAAGAGCAGATGGGTGCAGATGGAGAGGGAGATAGGTCGAATGCTGAGGCACAACCATACTACCAAGAGCCACTAGAAAAATCAAGGGAGAAAAATGACCACATACAGACAGGGAAAAAAGAGTCACCGGGGGGAAGTCAATGGGAGGAGGAAAGGGCAAAATTCAGTGGGTTTTCCATGGGCTTCTGGAGAAGAGGGAAAAGGAACACACTGAAAGACGGCAGGAAGAAAGAAAGGAATTGAGAAAATCAAAGGAAATAGGGGGAGAAGACAGGATAGATTGTAAATTTTCAGAGAATAGGGGGTACTTGAAGGGAAGAAACCCACCGATCAAGCTGATTCTCAGGACAGAAACAGTGCGGAACAAGATCCTCCAAGAGAAACCACGGTTGAAAAGCTCGGAAGAGTACAAGAAGGTGATCCTAGACAGAGACAAACACAGAGAGACAGCAGCTGAGGGAGAGGACAAAAAAGCGAAAGGAGATAGGAAAGGAGGACAAGGATGGGAAACCAGCAGAGGTCAGTCAAGCAGAACAGAGCAGCAAGGGGAAGCACACACACAACTATCCCCAGAACCCCACAACCTATCACACCCTCCCAACACACAATACAATCCATACCCACAGCTTCCACCCAACCCCCAAACATAGAATCCCACAGTATGCTACCAGGTCTCCCACCCCCACAGGCCCCCCAAACCACAGTGTTGGAAAGGAAACTGAAGGTATGGTACACAAACGCTGATGGAATAACAAACAAGTGGGAGAGTGGCACGAAAGAGTCAAAGGACATCCCCCAGACATCATAGCGATCACAGAAACCAAGCTTACAGGTATGATAACAGATGCCATCTTTCCAGCGGGCTACCAGATCCTGAGAAAAGACAGAAAGAACAAGGGGGGGTGGAGGAGTGGCATTGCTGATCAAACACCGATGGAATTTTTGATGAGCTGGAGAGAGGAGACAGCGGGGAAGAAAGTGATTACATAGCAGGGAATCTTTACTCTGGTGGTCCCAAGGTGATAATTGCAGTGATGTATAACCCACCACAGAACAGCAGGAGGCCAAGGCAAGAGTATGACGAAGCAATAGAGCGATGGTTGACACATTGGCTGCAGTGGCCAGAAGAGCCATGCATGCAGGGCAAAGCTCCTGATCAAAGGGGGACTTTAACCACAAGGAGATCGAATGGGAGAACTTGGAGCCACATGGGGGGCCCAAAATACATGGAGGGCTAAGATGATGGAGGTGGTACTGGAAAACTCATGTACCAACACGTAAGGCACTACAGAGAGAGAGGGAGGGGATGAACCAGCAAGACTGGACTTTGTATTCACCTTGATTAGTGCAGGATATTGAGGACATCACATATGAAAGACCCCTTGGGCCAGTGATCATGTGGTTTTGAGGGTTTGAATACACAGTTTTAAAAATCAAGTGGAGGGGGAAGCAGAAGGCCAGGAAAAATGAAACCAAACTATAGGAAAGGGACTACACAGAATTGAGGAAATCCGAAGAGGTCAGTGGGACAGGAACTGGCAGGGAAGCCAGTTAAGAGATGATGGGAATATGTAGCGACAATGTGCAAGGAGGGTGAGGAGGGGTTTGTCCCCAAAGGGTAACAGGAATAATGAAAAAGCCAGGTGAGCCCAGGTTCACCCAAAAAGAGCAAGGGGGCAAAAACCAAGTGGCGGGAAGGAAAAAAAAAGAAGGCAAGGCCCCGGGAGAATAAGGAGAGCAGTCTAGAGCCGAAACGAATATCACAGAAAAAGGAGGCCCCAACGTCAATTAAAAACGACATAGCGCAAAAGCCAAATCTGACCCAAACTGTTATACAGCCACATCGGGAAGAAAACAACCTAAGGACCAGGTAATCGGGCTAAGGAAGGAAGGGGAGAGACACAAAAATGACCGTAAGTATTGAGGAACTCAACAAAGATTCAAAAAATTTTCACAAGGGACAGAAGGGGCCCCAAAAGAGGGAGAGGGGGGGCACACCACCGTGGCGGGACACAGTCACCAACCGAGGAAGATTGAAGAGGCTTCGAGTAGCAGATACCTCAAAGGCAAGGGGCCAATAACATTCTCCAGGTCCTGAGAGAGGGGGGCAGAGGCGCTGTGTTACCCCTAACAACAATATCAATACATTATTAAAACGGGAATTGCCTGAGGCATAAAAAAGACAGCAAATTGTGGTCCCAATTTTTAAAAAAAGGAGCAGACATGAAGCACAAAACACAGACCAGTTCACTGACATGTATACAAAAAAAACATGGAAAGATGTCAGGAGAAAATGGGGAAAAAATTAGAAAGGAATGATCTCATCACCACAGCCAACATGGTTTCAAGACGGGAAATCCTGTGTACAAACCTACTGGGGGTTTTTATGACATGGTACAGCAGAAACAAGAAGAGGGGGTGGGTGGGGTTGCATTTTTTGGACTGCAAGAAACGTTTGACACAGTACCACACAAGAGATTTGTGCAAAAACTGGAGGGCCAAGCAGGGATAAAGGGGAAGCAACTGCAAATTTGGTCAGGGGGAAAACTTGTCAGGGACAGCGCGAGAAGGTCGTGGCGAGGGGTCAGAGGGGCACCTTGACCAGCGGGGTCCCACGGGGTCTCCGGACCAGTCTTTTTTTTGGGAAATTTGTGAACGCTGACGGAAGGGAAAAAACCCCGAGGGGCCCTGTTTAAGTGCGTAAGTTGATGAGAAGAGTTCATTCGATCGAGACCAGGCAAAAACAAAGGGACTGGGCAGGCTCAGAACCCGGCCCGCAATGGCTCCGGGTTTT